CTATATTAAAAATTTAGTAAGTCACTCATATCAGGTACATATGTAGTACTAAATATACATTTTTCTACTCTCAATCATGAGTAATATTTTTCTCACAATTCCAGAAAACCACAATAAATCCATGGTGAATTAGGCTTTGAACCAAAGATTCTTCCAGTAGCTTGTTTTCCAGAAAACTTCAAACTTCTGTTTGTTTGTTAAAATACAATTTATTCCCTAACTACAGACAAGAGGTAAATAAATGGCTCCTCTTCTGAGTCACAAGTTGAACTATGTGAAAGTTCTTTACGGATACTATGCAGTTCTTCATTCTAATACAGGAACTGAGTCCTTGTCTTCATTTGTATATTCCCAGGGCTGGCACAGTGTTCGTGCAATAGTTCCTCAGTAAACACTTGTAACTTGAACTGAAGTAGGAAATTGTGACCAATACTGCTAATCACCTAATCATCATCCATTCTTCCCTTTTTTTAATAAACAACATCCTGATTTATTTGGGAGCAACAATGTATTCAGTTAAAATATTTAGTCTCCCACTTTTTCAATGAGCTGTAAGAGGAAGTCACCCCTGGAATTTATTGAAAGCTCTTTTAGAAGGGGATAAACTCCACTGGCTTTATCCTCTTGCCCTTCATTTTTCTCTGATTTTCCTGCTTGAGATACAGATGTAATGTTTAGAGATAGAGCAGCTATCCTAGGATCATGAGGATTAGCCCCATGCCAAGCATGACAGAAGCAGCAAGTAGAATCAATCCTGGTTTTTGAAGTTTTCTCCAAGTAGCTGATCCAGCCTTGAAGTGCATTGCCTTGAACCTCACACTAGTCTTGCCACTGTCAAAGATTTCTGTTACATAGAGCCAAATGGAATCATAAAGATAGATCCTTTGATTCTTAAAGTGGGGAGAAGCTGACATGTTGGAATGAGTATTTTGTCATTCCAACTTCATTCCAAATGAAGTAGTTTGTCATTTTCCCAATTCCATTCTGATATGCCCTCCAAAAGGTGAATGGCTCTTTCTCTCACCTGGGTGAGAATCGCTGTCATAATGAGACACTGTTACCACTGGGAATGTCAATTCCCCCAGATGTGTTAGGTCACCCAAGAAAAGATGTTAAGAAACTCTGCTCCAGGGAGGCCCATAATGAACTGCGCACTTAAAAGTCATGAAGAATTAGGAGTTGCTACAAATTCAGTAAATATTAAAGCAGGTTGAAAGAAGCATACCTGAAGCATCTCAGAGTCCAACCAGAGAAGCATCAGAAGATTCTTAAAATTTTCATATGGACAATGAGGGGATTGATGAAGTTAGGCTAGAAAGAATGGATAGCACTACCCACAATTAGAGAATCCTCACATATTATGAATCCTCACAGCACCTTTGTGGTGGTGTTTGGATTTCTTATATAAGGCAAAACTTGACCTCTGCCACATTGTTTGGACATGCCATCCAACCTTACTCAACCACTTCCAATGACTAAGACTTGGTGAAATCATGAGGTGACCCATTTCATTGTTGAAAAGATTTAATAAATCTTTTTATTTATTGGAAAGTCCTTTCTTTACAGTGAGCTCAGTATGGCTGTATTTTACTGTTATTACATGCCATATATATAGTACTTTATGTATTTATTTAAAGAGTTTTCACATGATTCCATTTGATTCGATAGTCATAAACATCACGTGAATCACTTCAGCTGGTACTCTTACCCCATCCAAGCATGTGTAAACAAGTGCAGAGAGGCTAGCTACACTTGTGCAAGGATTTACAATTCCTGAGCAGAGTATCTGCATTTGAATTCAGGACTATCGGGCTATGAATTAAGTTCTCTTTTATATTTAGTTATTTATCCATTAGATATTGATTTACTGAGCCCCTACTCTCTACTGGTCACTATGTTCAGGGCTGAAGCTCTTGTGGTAAAAGGATACACATATTCCTGGCCCTCCTACAGTTAATGATCTAGTAACTACACACCAGTGTGTGCTACCTTTAGCTCTTGGTATAACACAGAGTAACAAGCATATTCCTTCCTTTGCACGTCAGTCATTCGGTTATTACATAACTTACAGGTTTCTCTTATCCAAACAAAACATACTCTTTCTTTAACAGCTACCTACTAAATCAAGGATTTGGGGGCTGTCTACCATCCTCATCACTTTCCTCTGAATACTCTCTACTTTTGTCTCTGTCATAAGAAATGGCATCCTGAATCAGACACCTTTGTTCCCAGCATGGTCCTGAATGGCCTCAGGTGATTAGAAGGTTGAACGCTTTGAGTATAGCTTGAGTTTACTGCATCTATTTTCATTTCTCGTGGCAATGTTGGCTCATGTTCGCTTTATGGATCACTGAAATCTGTCTTCCTATGGACTGTGGTAAATCAACTCTCCACCATCTGCACTCAAGACTTTTATGTTTCACATTTAAATACTAGATTTCTAATGCATTCCTATTAAATTTCACTTCATCATCCTTTGAGATTTTCTTTATCTTGATTCTGTCATTTCTAAGGTTAACTATCTTTAATAGTCTTTTATTATGAATAAATTAATCATGTCTTCTATGCTACTGATAAAAATGTTGAACTGAACAAATTTCAAAGACAAAACACAGTAACACCCTTTCCAAGCAGAGTAGTCCCAATCTATTATACTTACACTCGCAACTCTATTCATTCATTCCTTCCACAAAACTTAAAGAATGCTCTATCTGCCTTTGACTCAGGTTATGATCCCAGGGTCCTGGTACTGAGCCCCACATAGAAGCCTGCTTCTCCATATCTCTCTGTCACTCCCCTTGCTTGTGTTCTCTGTCAAATAAATAAATAAGATCCTCAAAAAAAAAAGTGCCATCGATTCAATCTGGAAGAAGCAGATGGGACCTCAGCTGGTGTGCAACTCAAAGATATAATGAGGGACTTCAAATATCTTGCTGAAAACACTACGAACCAATTTAATAGATTGGATATTTCTTCAATATTCAAAACTTGGAATCATATCCAAACTCAGAACTGAAGTTATTTGCCATAACTTGGTCTTTGGGATCCCATTAGATCCTATCAGTCTCTTGTTTTTGTACCTCAGAGAAATGCATTAAAAATCCTAATCCTTGCAAGATTTCTTCCAAAGTTAAGCAGTCAACATAAATGGTTTGGATCACCTTCCGTGATGACAGCTTTGTGAAGGACCACTAGGTTACTTGTTTACCAGCCACTTTTGCCTGCAGCCACTCGGAATCACTTCTCCCACTTATTTTTCTTTCCTTGTCCATTAGTGAGTCCATCCTCATCAGTATTCAGGAGGATGTCCAGAAGCCTCTCCAGCCATGCAGGGACAGGTGCAGTTTCCAAACCTTAGTTGTGGCCCTTGTTACATAGCTTGTTACCACCTCAATGAGCTCGGGTATTTTCTTGTAGAATCCAATTTTTTCTCATGCAGTATTTACGTATGATTGCTAGCATCTTGACAGTCTCTTTCCCAAATTTTAATTTACAGTATTTATTACCATACTTTTGTTGTATCTACTAAGTGTAAAAGCATGGATTAGACACCGGAAAGGCAGAAGTAGATACAAGGATGTACGAGAACTGGTCCCAGTTATTTACGGAACTGATGATGATCCAAAGGAGGAGGTAAACCAGCACGTGTGTAATACAAGGAAGTGGCTATTCCATTCCGGTTTCTTTTTGATTAGCAAGCATTTTGCAAAGACTTGAGCTATGTGTGTGAAGACTCAAACAATCATTTTTAAAACAGCTTTAAAAAAATAATTTCACTGGGCAGGTATGGGGTGGGGTGGGGTCAGAAGAGCATCAGATTGGTGAAGATAACCAATATATATATATAACAAAACCAAATTATTTATCAATATTATATATTAATATTATAACCAATATATATAACAAAACCAAATTATCCCATATAACAAAACCGAATTATTTTTCATGTTTTGACTATGTCTGTGGTCCAGTCCAAGAGAGTCACCATTTCAGATGAATTCCACACATTTGCATTTAAGTCTGTGAAAGACTTTCATTCAGTTCCACAAGTAGCTGAACCAAAGGATTGGTAACTTTTCTGAAACAAAAGGGAAAAATTATTTCTCTTGTTTTAGTACTGTTCCTTTACTTTCCACTCCAGAAATCATTTCAGAAAGTTGATGTTTGTTGTCAAAAGAATTAATTTTATTAATATTTTTATGACTAGAGGGGGCACCTGGGTGGCTCAGTGGGTTAAAGCCTCTGCCTTCAGCTCAGGTCATGATCCCAGGGTCCTGAGATAGAGCCCCGCATGGGGCTCTCTGCTCAGTGGGGAGCCTGCTTCCCCCTCTCTCTCTGCCTGCCTCTCTTGCCAACTTGTGATCTCTGTCAAATAAAAAAAATAAAATCTTTAAAAAAATTTTATGACTAGAAAGAATAAAATTAAAAAGTTATGTGGTCTCCCTTTTAAAAAATAACTCATCAAAAGATAAGACCTTTTCCTTACTCTTGTAAGTGAAAAATTAGACCCAAGTTTAGAATTTGCAAATATGACTTAATGGAGAATAATCAGTTTGTATGACATAGTGGTTATTTAGCCGCTTCAAAATCCAGAGTATAATTTACTGTTCTTTCTCTCCTCCCTCCCTTTCTCTCTCTCTCTTTTCCCCCCACCCCACTATCTCTCTCTCTCTCTTCCTTTTTTGTCTCTCTCCTCCTCTCTCTTTTTATTCTGAAATGAGCATTATTCTGAAATGAGAGTTCCCTTGTATTTTTTCTTGCAAAGATATCCCTCTGGAGTGAAAATCAGGAAAAGCTTTAATTTTATCACCTTGGAAGTGTTTTATGTTTCCATGGCAGAGAGAGTAGTTTCCGTACTGAGAGCAAATGAAGGGGTTAATCCTGGGCTTGGCTGAGTGTCAGTGAAACTTTTTTTCTGGCTCTGCTCCGGGTTTCCCCTTGAAGGGATTTCCCTCCGCCTCCAGGCCTCTGCAATAAGACCCTTTATAAAGAGCAGACTTTCCATTTCACTCCTCACTGAGCCTCACTGGCTTTAGGGGCTAAAACCTCTTTCAGGACACTTTCAGGCGGGACAGAAAGAAGGGTTTGGGGACCACTATGTTCTCATCACAGCAGAAACTAAAAATGCCTAGGAAGATGGTCGTGATCTTTGGAGCCTCAAATGTTCTTTGGATGGTGTTTGCTGTTTGTAAGTCCTTTTCTTTGATCTATTCCAAATGCTCACATTCCATTTCAGCTCTGATTTTGGCTTCAGTCAGTTGTGCAATAGTAGTGAAGAAAGGCACTAGGATTTTTAAGAAGTGGGAAAACCATTTACTGTAACATGTAATATGCTAGGGAACATGGCTCTGTACCATGGTATTGTCATAGTTGGAGCTATAAAGAATGTTTTTCAGATATCTTTTTCCAGTGTCAAATAAATAATTGGATTCTATCTCTACTGAGGTCTATCTCTTCAGTTTCCTGTACTTGATAATGAGCTTAAACTTAGCAAATATCAAAACAACTTTCATAAACGGGCATCAAGGTCAGGACTGAGAGTTCTCCATGATCCCAACACCTTTGGCAGCGACGCCTACGTTTTTTGGCCGCCTTATAGTTAGTTCAAAATTTAGGAAAGAGATAAGCCAGACTGTATTCTGGACACTATACTAGAACAGAGCAGAGGGAGTGGAATACTAAACTAAGTTCACTTTTCTCTTTTTGTCCTCACAGCTCAAGCTTTTAAAATGGAAATCTTCCCTGAACACAGAGTTATTGCTCAGATCGGTGATGTCATTTCACTCACTTGCAGTACAACAGGCTGTGAGCCCCCATCTTTCTCCTGGAGAACCCAGATAGACAGTCCGCTGAATGGGAAGGTGAGAAATGAGGGGAACAGCTCCACGTTGACCATGGATCCTGTTAGTTTCAACAATGAACATGCTTACGTGTGCACAGCAACTTGTGGATCTAAGAAACTGGAAAAAGGAATTCAGGTGGAGATTTATTGTGAGTACTTTGGAGGATCTTTGATTTTCCTCTTAATTTTGCTTTTAAAGTAAGTTTTTTAGAAAGGATATTTTTAAAAGAAAAAAAATTAAAGGCTATTCATGTCTAGCTTCTTGACTAGAGGACATACTGCCCTGGGAAAGTTAAGACCACTAGCATTAGAAAAGGAATACAAACCTTGCCTTTGTTTCTAACTCTGCCACAAACATAGTAACCATAGGTAAGACTCAGCCTCTCGGGGCTTTTCTTTTCTTGGCCGTAAAATGAAGATCTCTGAAGTTTCTTAATCTTCTTTTCCAAAAATTTCTATTTGATTATATCCTTACATGTTTACTTTGTCATATGTCTAAATGGTTTATGAATTCCATTCTTTGGGGATTTTCCACTTACTTATTCTTATGCAATTTCGCATAAACAGCGTAAGTAGGAGATCTATGATTTAGTAATAGGCTTCTGTTCAGGAGTTTTCCCTTAGACAGAAGGAAAGTATCTACAAACATTCCACTCATTTGACTTTGGTACAGATAAATTTAGGAGGGTTGTTTTTGGCTTTGGTGCCATTAAGCCTTAATGCTCAACCACTCAACCTCAAGATTATGGGTGTAATAATTTTATTTGCCTCATGAATGTTCATGAACATCCCTAGTTTGCCATTCTACCAAAACGCATGCATTCTTGACCCAGCATATAAAGTTAGCAAGAGGAGTAAAGAACCACCTGAAATAAAAATCTTGCCTTTGGTTACTGATGACTACTCTTTCAGAAAAACAAAACAAAATGAAACAAACCCTGAAATCCTTTATGACCATCTCTTCATGAAGACCCCATTTGATATCTTATAATTATTTTGGTTCCCATCTGCTATGGGGGAGCTCAGCTTTGCCCAGCATCCGTAATTGATTCTTCAATAAGCCCCATGTGCTGTTAATGCATCCCGAGAAACCGTGCCTGACCCGCTGCTTTCAATTATGCCAGTTGTATGTGCATAGTTCGTCTGTGCAGCCCCCTGAGCTCCTTGAAAGTCCCCTTATGTAAATACAGGGAAAAGTAGCAAGTTCTCATATTACCTGACAGCAAACTATGCAGATTATGGGCACATTTTATACAGAATATGAGAGAGATAGAAATTATTGGTGGAAAAATTAAAAATACTGTTTGTTTTTTGTTTCACGTAGCAAAGCATTTCCATTTCCTTTGCCTTTGCTCTCATGTATCAAACAGTTGAAGACTTAAAAAAAAAGAGGAGTAAAGACCCTTCTGGCTTTAATTATCTTTCCTGAGGTTTTTCTTTAAGAATATCTGTCTCTTGTTATGTTTAACGAGCCCGTCTCTGTTCCACATTTGATTGTAATATTCTTTAGAGCTGGGGCCTTTGTGTTCTTATTGTGCAGAGTCCTGAGTCCAGCCAATGTGTTACCATCTTGACAGTTTGTAGTGAAAAGGTAACCTTTGCAAAGAAAGCAATGGCTGACTTAGATCGAACGTTCCCTGTTCCTTCGGCACTGGAAGGTTCAAGTGGAGTGCTAGTTCGGACGCTGAGTCAGGCATTGCGGGAGGCAAATCTCCTTTCCAGAATTTGTAGATTGTGCAGGTGTACCCGTGCAATGATATTCTGAGCCTCAGTTTCCTTATCTGTAAAGGGGACGTATCTCGCCCTAAGATTAGAGAATGTGATATAATGTAAATCTTCAGTAGCAGTACAAAATAATAGAAATCCTGAGTGAAATCCCGGACTTGCCATTTATTAGCTGTGTGACTTTGGCGAGTTATGCAAATGTGCTAATTCTATGTTTTCATATCTGTGAAATGTGCTATGTCTTAGAGTTACAAAAAATTATTTATATTTAAGGAATAGCACAGTGACAGGCACATATATGTATTTAATAATAAACATTAATTTATTCTCAGTTCTTTTACTCTTAATATGCAACCCTTAGTACATGTAGGATCAGTGCTGAAGAACTCCCTTAAAGGTGATTGACTCTGACTGGTGAACCCACCCAAAACTATTAAAGGTTATTTGAACAGTGAATTAAGACTGTATCCACAGAAACATTAGACTTGGTTTGCATTGCATTGAATCAGTAAAAGACCTTGTGTTACATGAACAGAAAGCCTTCTCATGTGTATTTATTTGTTTGACGTTTGCAGCTTTCCCTAAGGACCCAGAGATCCATCTGAGTGGCCCCCTAGAACTTGGGAAGCCAGTCACAGTCACGTGTATGGTCCCTGATGTTTACCCATTTGACAGGCTGGAGGTAAATTTGATGAAGGACGATGAGCTCTTAAAGAATAAGGAATTCCTAGAGCCTATGGAAAGGAAGTCCCTGGAGACCAAGAGTTTGGCGGCAACCTTCATTCCTACCAATGAGGATATTGGGAAAGCTCTTGTTTGCCAAGCGAAATTAAACATTGATGAATTTGACTTTGAACCCAAAGAAAGGGAGACTGCAAAAAAACTGCAAGTCTACAGTAAGTACTTGTGTGATAGAGTCTAGTCTCTGTGGGAATTTAGTCAGCTAAAGCCAGGAAGGCATTTGTTTATAGTTTTTACTCCATTTTTATTCATCGAGAACATAGTATTTGTCAACAGCATAATTCAATGAAAAGAGCACAGGATTTAGGTTGAGAAGACTTCTGGCTCCATTAACCGTGTGAACTTGGGTCACTTAATTTCCTTATTTCCCAATCTATCAAAGGGGAGTAATAATACCAGCTGACTTGGTAGCAGGAAGTGGGCTCAAATGAGATGTTTTTAAACATCTCTTATTTTTGCAAACTCTTATAATATGCTCTGAAATATTAAGTTATAGAAACTTCACAAGGTGAGCACTTGTTCTCTGTGTGCATGTGTTATGTGTGCATACGCTCATGGGCTCATCTGCATGTGCGTGTGCTCACGCATACCCATGTGCACTGGGTGGGAGAGTTAGGGATGAGGCTTGATTAACTCCACATTCCCTGAGACTGCAGGGAGATTTGAGGCAGGCTTGTAGTCCCAGAACTGTGTGGGAGTGGACACACTGTACTCCATTCTAGACCAAAACACTGTGTTCTGCTTTGGACACTACATTTCAAAGGAGTATTGCCAACTATAGCATGTTTAGCTGAAACAGAATGAGATGGAAAGGCTTTAATCAATATTTTGAAAAGCATAGTCAAGATAAGGGGTATTTTTCCTAGAGAATACAAAACTTGGAAAAGAGAACTATCATTAAGTATTTGAAAGACAGTCATGTGGAGAAGGGATTTGATTTATTCTGTAACAGCAGAGGACTGAACTATGGCCACTGTGTGGAATTTGTTTACAAAGAGGAAGGTTTCAGTTCAATTGTTCTAATAATTAAAGCTGTCCCCAAATTAAATGGACTGTTTTGTAAGGCAGCGTTCCCTCAACCAAAAGTGCTGAAGCCAACTTAAATGAGCACTTGGCAAAGGTGCTTCTCTTGGTAGAAGACGACTTCTACCTTATCTGGGAGATTGAGCCACATTACTCTAAAGTAATGTAGTAATTTTCTTAATTTCTGAGTATCTATGGCCATCTAAAAACACCAAACATCAAAAAAAGTATCTCATGGGGCACCTGAGCGGCTCAGTGGGTTAAGCCTCTGCCTTTGCCTCAGGTCATGATCTCAGGGTCCTGGGATCCAGCCCTGCTTTAGGATCTCTGTTCAGCAGGGAGCCTGCCCCACTCCACCCTACCCCCCACTCCCCCCCACCCACCTGCCTCTCTGCCTACTAGAGATCTCTGTCAAATAAATAACTGAAATCTTAAAAAAAAAAAAAAAGTAACTCACTTAGATTAGTCAGAAATTGGATTAACTGATTTTTAGGACCCCACAATACTGATTTTATATTAATTTGACAGAGTAAGTTTGTCAACTTTGTGAAAGCATATGAATACAGCCTGTGAGAGAAATACCTTATCCTTGTTGGATCAAGATGATGTCTAGCAGTTACTAATCTTGGGTCCTGCCTTTTCAGTCTCACCCAAGAACACAGTTATCTCTGTGAGTCCCTCCACGAAGCTGCAAGAAGGTGGTTCTGTGACAATGACATGTTCCAGTGAGGGTCTTCCAGCCCCACAGATTTTCTGGAGCAAAAAATTAGATAATGGGAATGTACAGCTCCTTTCCGGGAACGCAACTCTGACTTTAATTGCTATGAGGATAGAAGATTCTGGAATTTATATGTGTGAAGGAGTCAATCAGGTCGGGAAAGATGGAAAAGAGGTGGAATTAATTGTTCAAGGTAAGTAGACTGTGAGAAAGGAATGATAAAGGTGCTGTAACTGGGGTTTGCGTAGTAGGGAAACAACTTCAATGCCTACAGTACTTCCTTAAGTTTTACTGATGACCCATATGATGTCATTTCTTTTAGCACAATTGTATATTCATCTTACTCATACTTCTCAGAAGTCTTTCCTCCCAGGGCATAAATGGCTCTGCATTTCTCTTTTCCATCTCTCACCATTCCTTCCCTGCTTCATCCTCTGGCTTTCTCTTTTCTCTCCGCCCCCTGAATATTAGTATTCTCAGGTTACCACATCTGTCCTCATCTCCATTCTGGACTCCCAGTATTTGGGCTACTATATGCTGCTTATCCCCAAATTCATGTTCTCCTTCCATATCACCAAACCTGCCATTTCTTCCTCAAAAAGATCCTTAGAATTTGTCCTCAGTTTTTCAACCCCCTTGCCATTGCCTTAGTTTATCATCTCTGACTTAAACTCTTGTAAGATATTTTAAAATAACAGCATTCACTGACCACCAGCTATATGCCAGGCACTTTATATATGTTAGCTGTAATCTTCAAGAAGTAACTAAAGAGTAAGTATTTTATACTCATTTTACAGATGAGAGTGTACTGTCTCACAGAAATGAATAATGGCTCCTACCGATCTTATACCTCATACTTGCTTGGAATTCTACTTTCCACTTTATATATGTTGTCTTGTTAGTCTTTATCACTACCTTATGAGGTAAATAAAAACACGAGTTCAGCATCCTTCATACTTTTCCTAGAGTCAAGTCGCTCACTAGGGGTATTTACTATGATTTTAAAACAGGCACATTTTAAACAAAACTCTATGACTTTTCAACTAAATAGCTAATTGTCTTCAAATGGTCATCCTGCTGTCATTCTGTCTGCAAGATAATCAATCCTATGCAATGCTCTCAGAGTATATACCTTAAACAAAAAAGATGTTCGTTATATATGACTTCAACCAGACCCTAATTGCATGTAATTTAAAATGTGCATTTCTTAAAATAACTCTTCATGATCTGGTCAGAAACTACTTTTGTAGCTTTGTTGGTGTCCCTGTACCTCTGTCCGTGTTGCTCCTTCTGCCTGAAGTGCCCTTTCTTTACCTGGTAAAGTCTTAGCCATCCCTTAAGACAAAGCTCATGTTAGCCTTCCAATTCCAGATTGTATTAAGCAAAGTTGGGCATTCCTCCCTTTGTCTACACTCAAACCTTCTTACAAAGTTTGTGTACTTCTGTTTAGTTCAACACATATTAATCAAGAGCCCTTGTCCAAGAATCCAAGAATTATGTTTGGCACTATGGGGGCAGACATGAAAAAGTTATGGTGACCACCCTTTAAGAGTTTACAATGTAGGGAGGAAAGACAGGCGTGTATGCAGATAATTTAAATATACTTTAGTAAGAGCCAAAATAATGTATCTATTTAAATATGTCTTTTCATTAAATTGCAAGTGCCTTAAAGTCAGGAACTGTGCATATGTGTGTTTTAATATTTATGTGTTTACCACAAAAGTAGGTGCCCAGTAAATACTGATTGCATAAATTGTAAACATGAGCAACACAAAATTTTAGAATACAAAAACATAGGGTTTAAATTTAGATGGTTAAAACAATAAAAGTGACACTCACCATCAGTAGATTAACTCAGATGGGTGTTAGCTTACCATTCTCAAGAGACCAGGAAAGTATTAAACTAATAAAATCAGGGGAAACTAATCACCCATCCTGGATAACTCCACCCCATAATAAACTAGATCCCAGTTCAGTGTGGAAAGGAAATGCATTCTGGGGTTCAAGAGGGCTGTTTTGAATTTTGCATCATGGGACACTAACAACCTTAGGTACTGAAGAGAGAATTGAACTTTGAAAGGACCTTTCAGTTACCTAAGAATTACTCCACAGGGACCTCGGGTTTGCCTGGTAACACATGCAGCCATTGGAAAAAATGATTTGAGGGCTCTTCACAGGCAGGAATTGGGTCTGTTTTCAAGTTCCCCATTCCCACACTAGCATATAAGGAATGATCTCTCTTTTTTCAAAGCCTAAGAGCATATTGGTTCATTGAGATAATTTGAAGAAAGCCTTCTTTGGGAGATTCTACAATGTCACAGCGAGATAAACCAAAGAGAAAAACAACTTCTCCTGGCACAGATGAGAAACCTGTAAAATGTGATGTATTTGGATTTCTTATATGTGGAGATTTCTTTCCTCCACCTCTAGTCTGCTATTTGGGGGAACAATTTTAGTGATTTTCTGTGTAGTCTCATCTATCCCTTTCAGGGTTGCCCAACCATTCCCAGTTTCTTCAGGGAACAGGGAGTGGAGATTTGAAATTGTCTTTTTTCCCCAGACAGAAAGCATCCCAAAGCAGCCTGTGGGTCCAGCAGGGATAGCCTTGGCAGCCAAAGAGCTCCTCTGGATAATTTGAGACTTAGCAGTTTGCTCTCTTATCTCAGTTTTCAAGCCCTGAATTAATTGAAAGTATTTTTGTATTGCATCAGACAAATTTCAGGGGTGACTTGTGTATCATTTTCATGTTTAGATTTTGACTTTACTTTCAATGTGATTCTGTGTGCTTTCAATGGCATAACTTTATATTGTTGGCCCAGAGACTCTAAGTTCTGGTCCATTATGGGTATTGCATCTAATCGGAAGATATATTTCTGTAGCTTTTTTCACAACCTCTCTTAGATCTTGCTTTATCTCCACACGAGGATGACTTGATTTTGTTGTTCAAGCAACTGAAAAGCTGGGATCACAAATCAGACCCACCTGGCTTCAAGTCCTAATTTTGCCACTTGCAAACTAGATAAAATTATTAGCATTTCTGAGCCTAAATTTCCATAAGGAGAAAGAGGCCAAGGAGGGTGATGGGAGAAGAAGGAAGAGGAAGAGGAAAATAAAAAGAAGAAGCAGGAGAAAGTGAAAGAGAAGAATTAAGTAGTGAGGATTAGATGAGATAATTAATACATGCAAACTGGTTTACATAATGCTTACACACTGGAACCTCTTAAGTTGTTGGAGCTGTTTCCACTCTTACAGGGATTTGATAAACTACCATTGAGCAGAGACTGAATTATTGTCATGAAAAGATGCCAGCTTCTGTCCTGACAGGTTTTTATCCACATTCATTCTGTTAAATGAATTAGTCAATGAACTCTTACGGGTTTGTTCTTTAAAAACATCTCTCTGGGCAGTCCCAAGGTGGTAAGGAGTAATTTTTTCTTGGCACAGATGTTAGCTGAAAAGAGTTGTGGGTGGGGGAGAAGATCATATATTGCAATGTGGTGAAGGAAGAAAAGAAACTCATCTTCTCTTTGTCTTGTTCTTTTTCCTCCAGAGAAACCATTCATTGTTGAGATCTCCCCCGGACCCCAAGTTATTGCTCAGATTGGAGAATCAGTTGTGTTGACATGTGGTGTCACAGGCTGCGAGTCCCCATCTTTCTCTTGGAGAACGCAGATAGACAGCCCTCTGAGTGGGCAGGTGAAGACTGAAGGGAGCAAGTCTACGCTGACACTGAGCCCTGTGAGTTTTGAGAACGAACATTCTTACCTGTGCACTGTGACCTGTGGCCTGAAGAAACTGGAAAAGAGAATTAGTGTGGACCTCTACTGTAAGTGGTTTCCAGAATTGTTTGCTGTTTTTTCCCCCTCAGTTTTATTGAAAGAAACAGAATGCAAGTCTGTGATACACGGTGATATCCATGTGTTTAGAAAGGGAAGTTTGCCTTGTGAATTGTTCCTAAATCTTTGAACCAGAATTTTTTGATACAAATTAATGGACCCAAATCTTAAGTATATATTACATATGTACACAGCATCCACAGTCCTTAGTTTGCATCTTGTCCATGCTCTGTCGTCATGCACTTGAACACACTACACGTTCACTGCTTCCCACCCCCTCTGTGTATACAGGGGCTGTTCAGAAGTAGTAGTGAGCAAGGAGTGGGAGTCAGTGCCCGTTCTGATGACTGGAGAGGGATTACTATCGCTCAGCTATTTGAACAGAGCGTGAGGCCCCAGGCTACTGTTTTGAAGGTACATTTGGGAAGCTGATTGGCAGGATGGGGGGAAAAATGAGGCAAAAATGAAAACAGGTAGTTATATTGGCCCCAGGGGATGGACAGTGACAGCTGCTCAGGTGGAAAGCAGAACCAGGCATCAGTACTAGACCTTCACCTTGATGACGCTGCATACACCTGCTGTACTTTTTCTTGCTGTTCCTGTTACCTTAATAAAAATCATTTACAACCTGGAGTCTACATGAATTTGACATTGCTGGAATTCCTCTGCTGTGATGAATGAATGACAAAATATTCAAAGTGACCTGAAAATGGATTACTTTAGAAGGCTACTCTGCCTTGTTTTAGTCAGCAGATTTCAAGAGAAAATAGAACATTTGCTACCAGAAAACCTGCCCAAACTTGTGTTACCCATCAGGATTTTGTTCAGCATGAGTTAGAGTATGTCTGTGGAGGGATTTGAATCTCTCAAAGTAAGGGTAAATTTTATTGTGTTATCATATTACCCAGAATCCAGCATCTGCTGATGTAGGCACATTCCCAACAGAAATGAGAACCAGAAGTACAGCCTTACTGCAATACAGAAATATTTGAAAATTTAACAACATTTTGTTGAAGGAGAAAAAATTTTGGCGTTGCTCTTATTCTTGATAACTATTTTAGTCTTATCTTTATTGGTTTGCATAAGACATACTATAATTATTTAGAATCTAAATCTCACAGTTTTTTGTTAACTACAAATATTGTCTGAGAAATATTTAAGATTTACTGTCTAAGCCTGGCCATTGGAAACTAAAATGTCTAAAGTGAGAACTGCCCTATGGCTCTTATTTGATACTGCTCTGTGAAACCATGCCTGGGTTCTGAGCTCAGAGAAATATGGGTTCTGATCGCAACTCAGTCACTTGATAGGTACAATACCTAATGAGAGTCTCTGAGCTTCTATAAGGTTTATAAGCTTTTCTACCTACAAAGTAAGTTAAATGAAACCCATTTTATCAGGCTGATTAAAAGACTGAGATAATGCATATTAAAATAACAATACATCATGGGAAATATTTAAAACGTTTGAAATACATAGTTGCTAAATAAGATGGTGGAAACTCATGTTCCTTCCAAAAGACCAGTTCATGGGTGTCAGACCGCATCACTAAGAAGAGAAAAATAGGAAGTATATTTATTTCTTGAATGATTCATGATTAAGTATTTTTGTTGATAGCATTTATATTTAGTATCATAAATATGTAGGCTTAATTTTATTATTTATGTATTGGTGATCATTCTATCTCAAGTGAATTAAAACTATCATTTTGAGACCTTTGTATTTAATAGAGATTAGTTCCATTTTTCCTTTGAATGTTTACATATAAACATAATTTTTCATGATATTTGCAGCATTCCCTAGAGATCCAGAGATTGAGATGAGTGGTCTACTCGTGAGTGGAAACCCAGTCACTGTGAGCTGTGAGGTTCCTAATGTGTATCCTTCTGACCGGCTGGAGATTGAGTTATTTAAGGGGGAGAGTATCATAGAGAGTAAAACCTTTCTGGAGGACATGGACAAGAAATCTCTGGAGACTAAGAGTTTGGATATGACCTTCATCCCCACCACTGAAGATACTGGAAAAGTTCTTGTTTGTCTGGCTCAGTTACACATTGGTGAAATGGAATTTGAACCCAAACAAAGGCAGAGTACACAGATGCTTCATGTTAACGGTAAGTACATGAGTGATGTAGCCACAACTTAATATGGATTTCTTAGGTTTGTCAGGCCATAGTTAACATGAGGTTAAAGAGCTAAAACTTCTGTGGGAAAAAAAAAGTAACTTGGGAGGAAATTTTAAAATAATTATTATAATAAACCACTCCTAACACTTAAAACAACAATCATCTATTAGCTGATGATTCCATGAATTGGCAATTCTAGAGGGGTCGGATGGGCAGTTCATCTCCTCATCGTGGTATCAGATGAACTCACCCATTCATTTTCAGTCAACTGGCAGGTTAGTGGGGGATGGCTGGTCACAGATGGACTCATTCCTATGTCTGGAACATTCTTGGGGGTTTCTGGGCCTCCCCTTCTCCATGTGTTGTTTCCCCCTGAAGGAAGGTGGAATAGGTTTAGTCACCAGAGTGCAGAATTTCAGAGAGGTGAAAATGAAAGCAGGCTCAAGCTTGGAAGTCCTACAGCATTACTTCTTTCATATTATATTGGTCACAATGAGTCAACAGACCAGCCAAGATTAGAGAGCTGGGAAAATAAACTCCACCTTCTCACAGGGGGTTCAAATAATTTTTGGTCATGTTTAATGTACCATAAATGTCTATGTACACTATCAATGATCATCCATTCTTTGGTAGTAAAAGACTCTCTACAGAACTTATTTCTATTAGAAAACATCCATGATGTGTTCACATTCTACTCTCTATCATTCTGTCTGCTTAAGTAAATGGGGACAGAAACCTTCCTTTGGTAAAGTTAATAAACTGTTAATAAGTTTATTAATAAACATTAATAAACTGTTCCAACCCATTGGTTCCATAGCTCAGTTCTGCAACATTATTAAGACTTTTGGAACTCAGGGTATAAAGGGTCAAACTTAACAAGTGTCTCTACTTTTTCAGTTGCCCCCAGGGATACAACCATCTTGGTCAGCCCCTCCTCCATCCTGGAGGAAGGTAGTTCTGTGAATATGACGTGCTCTAGCAATGGCCTCCCAGCTCCGAAAATCCTGTGGAGCAGGCAGCTAAATAATGGGGATCTACAGCCTCTTTCTGAGAATTCAACTCTCACCTTAACTTCTACCAAAATGGACGATTCTGGTATTTATGTGTGTGAAGGGATTAACCAGGCAGGCATAAGCAGAAAAGAAGTCGAATTAATTATCCAAGGTAAGTAAAATGTGATTAATGAGTTACTATTGCCAGTATTATTTTAGTTGTTGCTGTGTTTGAACAAAGTCCTCTGTGGAACCAAAATTTTTACTAAAAACGTAGATTGAGGGTTTTGAAGAGCTCCTGATGTTTCCTACGCTTGGAAAGTTCCTGGAATGGTGCTTCCTCATAAACCATTCCACATCTCTTATTCTGAAATTCTTTAACCTCCAGTGGAATGCTAGTTGTGGGAACGGTGCCAGGAGCTCCGGTTACACTTATGAGACAATGATTAGGGTGTTGAAATAGGGATGCGATGAGAAATATATGTATTCGGAAATTAGTTAGGATTAAAGCCACAATATCTGGCAGAATTGGACTCTGAGTGGTACTTTCAAAAGCTACATGCTAGTATTTGCTTAGAAGCCTAAGAAGGCACGTAAACCTTTTGTAAATTCTGAGGTTAAAAGTAGCAGTGTCCGTGCCTCGGGTTCATCAACTTGATGCCATGGAACCACTAGAATGGCTTCAGTTGTAAGATCCATACCCCCTCTCTCCAGGACAGATAGCCAAGACTGAAAACAAAATAATTTCTAGTTGACAAGTTAAATCCATAGGCTGTTTTGGGCAAAAGCATGAAGTGATATATTTGGATTTCTCCCACCCTTGCACTTTGGGGATTAAAAAAAAAGTTCCTCCCCCTCCCCACCCCCAGAGCTGTCCTATCCTCTCTTACCCCCTGGTATTATTTCCACTAAGGTATTAGTGATTTTCTTGCTACCTTATTTTAGTGATGATTTGTATTTTAAAGAAACAACCTTGGAAGGGCAATGCACAACGTTAAAGAAATGTATGTCATGGTTCTATAGCTGTTTTTGAGGGAAGAATCTCAAATCAAGTCACAAAAATAGATGAACTTAATGGGAATCTCACTTATAAAATGGCAATATGATACCTTCTGCCATGGGCAGTGTATTAATAGAGATGTTGCATATCAAATACTTAGCCCAGGGCCCACCGCTTAACAAATGGTAGTTATGGTTGTTAAGAATAGTAAGAAGAAAAAAAGGAAAGAATAGTAAGAAAGCCATCTCTTCATAACTTGATCCAGGAAAATCCAGCTCAAAACTCAGAAGCCTGTAAAGACCTTTATGCTTCAAAGAAAAAACTTTGCACAACATTGTGACAGAAAGAAATGTTTTCTTTTTCCACATTTGAATTCTATTTCTGTTTATCGACACGATTTTTTGGTTAGTCTAGAGAAAGAATTAGATTAGGGACATGAGAGAAACATAGACATATCTTCTCTTATTAAAAACACAATCATTTATAACAAACCAGTCAATCCTTGACTTCTTTACTTGCCCCTATAAACATTTAATGCAAACAGTAAGCACAGATAGGTTCCTGACAGCTAATTGTTGCTGTCATTAAATTAATATGAAAGTGGTTTATATTTCACCCAATCAGAGGTGCCTTTTAAATTCTCTTTACAGTTGCTCCGAAAGACATACAACTTATAGCTTTTCCTTCTGAGAGTGTCAAGGAAGGAGACACTGTCATTATCTCCTGTACATGTGGAAATGTTCCAAAAACTTGGATAATCCTGAAGAAAAAAGCAGAGACGGGAGACACAGTGCTAAAGTCGAGAGATGGTGCATATACCATCCACAAGGTCCAGTTAGAGGATGCGGGAGTGTACGAATGTGAATCTAAAAATGAGGCTGGCTTGCAATTAAGAAGTTTAACCCTCGATGTTAAAGGTTAGTTAGTTTTTTGTTTTTGATTATTTTTTCTAATAGAAGTTTGATGGAATGTAAAGATTTTCTAGGATCAGGTGAGTGAGTTGGCAAAATGGAGTTGAATTCCATGTTGACTGTGGTTATTTCTCAGTGTTTCTTAAAATAATCATGCACAGCTGCCCTATCCTATGGAGTTTAGCCAGGAAGTTGACATTAATCACTGGTGAGTACAGGATTCCCATTTGCTTTTCTCAGAGTTGACAATTCATCATTGGTCTCCGAAGTCTTGCATTTCCTAAGCATTTAAACATACATTCAAAACCTTTCTCTGAGGTTTCAACTTTAAATTGTCTAATAAAATGTTTTCTGGCCATTATTACATAATACTGACTCCAGAAAATTTTTGAGATATCTCACACACTTCAATTCCAACAATACTTTTGTATAGAAAGTAAATCTCACAGGTTCAAATTTTCGGCAGCCATAGACTTTAGATCATTGAGTCAGTGTTTTTCATTTTATTTGGGAAATATTTGAGCACAGTTCCTTTAAATATTTTCCCCACTTTTATATCTTTCTCTTATCTTTCTGTAATTCTAATTCCATGTATTTTAGAAAGTTCAGTATTGTCCTACATATTATTGTGGCTCACTTTTTTTTCCTTTGTACTCTTTAGTTTTTAGATTAGATGAATTTTTTAACTGTCTTCATATTCATTCAATCTTTCTTTCACTGTTTACAACATGCTTTACGCCCAGCCATTGAAGTTGTTTTAATTTCAATTTATCATATGTATATGATTCCCATTTATCATATGTGTTATTTTGCTTTTTACAACTTCCATTTCTCTTTTGAATCTCCCTGTTCCTTCATTAAAGCAGATTAAGGACAGACCTGAATGGTTTGACACTCCACCCATTGAAAATTGACCTCTATTTCCTTTTTCCTTGAATTGGGCTGACCTGTAACAGCTTTGACCCCCAATTAGGACAGTGGTAACACTCAACCTTCAGAAGACTGTTAGCTCTATAATTGCTCTCATGGGGGTCTAAATTTCCAAGATGGTTTCATATGCGTATGATATATGCGTATGTTCAAGCTCATCAAATTATATATATTAAATATGTATAGTTTTGTATATATCAGTTATAATACAATAAAGCTTTAAAAAAAAAAAAAAACCTTTCTCTGGAGGTTATAAGGAAACTAAAGAAGTAGGATTCACCCAATGAAGAAAAATGTTTCTACCCAGGCTCTTGTCCCTCCTACCACAAGAGAATGCTATTCTCTGAACATGGAGTAATTGCCTATTTTCCGGATTGATTCCTTTCAAGATGATAATTAGGAGTGGCAATCTTGATGCTGAACAACACTGAATAATGTTTAGACTACAAAATTGCCTTCTTAAAAATCCAGACCTCTTGTCCATCCTACCTTATTCTGAGCAGGGGGTGGGTTGAGCAATGACATCAGCAAAGAAACTTTAGGGGCCCTTTATCTTCCTAACCCCTTTTGTGAATGCACAGTAGGATCTGTTGCTCTTATTGGTGTAAGCAGAATATGTTAGCCTTCACTAATCAGTCTCCACACCTTGTGTGCTGATGAGTTCTCACTGTGTGTTGGGAACTACACTTGGAATGAACAGGACTGCAAATAAATGCAACTCTTGGAGCCTGTGCACTTGGCTATCAGAGTTTGCAACCATGTGTCGGTGTAAAGAAAATTTGAACTTAGGTCAGAAAACACGTAATTTTACTCATTTGGCCAAATTTCTCAACACTGCAAGCCTTACCATATGTTTTCTGTCTTCACAGTACCTCCTCAAAACATGACAATATCAAAACATGACAATATTAATACATCCATCTAGAAATGTTAAGAAGGGGGAAATATCATGATTATATGTGAAACTTCTAGTCATCCATCCGTAGTGATTATCCTGAGAAGAGTTGATCTGGCCAATGAAATTACTGTGTTCAAAGAATGGAACACTTACCTTGTTTCATGCCACTCAAAATGACACTGGGGTGTCTGTAATCACTGCTTCTAATGAGGTTGGGGATGAGATTGAGATCTCAGTTATGACTAGGCTGAAATTCATTCATTCCTAGTTCTTTCAATCTTTGATGCCTCTGGTCCCCTTTTAATTAAGGCTAGGCCCAGGAAATTGGACATCTAACATTTTTGTAATTCTGTTTGTAGTTAATGATTCTCTTTTAAAGATATATCAAAACTTCTCTACTTTTTAAACTCTATCTCACACATTGTTTTTTTTTAATTACTTTATTAAATGAATAACTTACATATTTGCCATTCTCATTCATTACTTACATGAACTCTCAAAGCATTTTAGGTACTCAACTAAGAAATTCAGGCTCCCAAACAATGGTTTAAAATAGCAGTAAATGAATGGAGACAAAAATTTGCCATTTTTCCTTGCTATTTTGAGCTAGCTTACCTTGCTATTTAGCTGAGTTTTTGTTTTTTTTTGTTTTTAAGATTTTTTGATTTATTTGACAGTCAGAGATCACAAGTAGGCAGAGAGGCAGGTAGAGAGAGAAGGGAAGCAGGTTCCCTGCTGAGCAGAGAGCCTGATGCGGGGCTTGATCCCAGGACCCTGGGATCATGACCTGAGCCGAAGGCAGAGGTTTAACCCACTGAGCCACCCAGGCACCCCTATTTAGCTGAGTTTTTGTTTTGGCTTGAAAGCATTCCAATGATAGGAATGGCTGGGAGTCTAAGATTTTCAGTGTTTATACAGCTAATAAAAAATAGTGTTTGAAGATTGCCCTGGTAACCGACTCAGCAGCAAATTTGTGTTTGACTGCAGATGCCTAAAGGAAAAACTGAAGGCAAAAGATAACATTTATTAAATTGAAAAGAAAACAATAGGAGTAGAAATACCATTGTCCAACATGTTGTCAATATTGATGCCTAACTGTAATTATGATAATGGATAGCCATTAAAATATTATGTTTATACTTTGACTAGTTCTACTCTGCTGAAGAAAGTAGAAAGATGAGGCAGTTATCATTATGTTTAGTGTTAAGTTTTTTTTATTTTAATAATTTGAAAAAATTGACTTCCTCTCATCTGACCATCATGATCCTTTTCTATTTGGTTGATCTCCAGTGATTAGAAACTTCTAGATGGAATGTAGTCGTTCCCAAAATCGATTTCTTCAAAGACAGAAAGCATACATGCTACTTTAAGAAATTTAATACTTGTGAGGTCATACGATGCTGGGCAAACATAAACATAAATAGAGATAAGCCTCCAGTAAATGCCATGTTATCTTCCCCAGATCGTCTTATAAGGTTAAGAAGTTTTTTTTGTTTTTGTTTTTGTTTTTTTTTAAGATTTTATTTATTTATTTAACAGATCACAAGTAGGCAGAGAGGCAGGCAGAGAGAGAGGAGGAAGCAGGCTCCCTGCGGAGCAGAGAGCCCGATGTGGGGCTTGATCCCAGGACCCTAGGATCATGACCTGAGCCGAAGGCAGAGGCTTTAACCCACTGAGCCACCCAGGCACCCCTAAGGATAAGATTTTAAGTAATAGTGCACCTGTTAAATGATTTTTAGTACATTGGAAAAAATACTAATTTTAGTTCCGTAAACTTTTGCCTTCTGTACGCAATTTACAGCTAAATGACAAAGTGACAGGATGCAGAAAGAAAAGAAATGCATTACTATTCAAAAAATATTTACTGGGGGTCAACTACTCCAAGCAATGAGTCAGGTACTGGCTATTCGGTGGTGGACCAAAAAGAAAATTGATATATCGTCTAATGTAATTTGTAGTCTGGAAGAGGAAAGAAAAGTTAATAGATAACTATACAAATAAATGTTTAATTACAAGCAGTGATAAGAGTTATGAGAAGAAAGTGTAGTGAGTAATGAAAGTATATCGGGGTTCCTAATTTAAGCTGGGGAAGATGTGGGTCAGAGAATGCCTCTGAGTAAGCAACAATCAAACTAAAATGTACTATCCAAAAAACTTCAGTTTATCAAGAGATGATATAAATGCTGAAGAGACACCCTACTTCAGAGATACAAAATGTAAAATTTTGTATATATCTCTGAAAAAGCTGTCAGCAAGAATTCTTTTTCTTACTATCATATATGGTGTTTGACTATAATGGTTACATTTCAGGATTTTCTTGGAGAACTAATTAGTCATTTCAGTTCATGGTCAGCAGAGCCCTAGCTCTTTAGTGGATTTTTATATATTCCAGAGCAAATACTCTTCCCCAATTCTTGCTTTTGTAAATGAGCTCTAGAAAGTTGTGTCCTTGCTTCCATTCAACAATTGAACCTGATTCTATTTGGATCCAACTTTATGTAAGTCAACAGCTGTCATCTTTAAACTCATCATGACCATGGCAACTGCCAACTGATTATTTGGGTAATTCAGAGAAATATGCATTTTGGTTCTTGCTGGCCCTTATCACTGCTTTGATTCACTCCAATTTAGAGAAGTAGTTGTACTGTTAAAACATGTAACTATTACTATCAAGACACTTTTTGTACTAGACATTAATTACACCCATTTTGTTGTTTTCCAGGAAGAGAAAATAACAAGGATTATTTTTCTCCTGAACTTCTTGTGCTCTATTGTGCATCTTCCTTAATAATACCGGCCATTGGAATGATCATCTACTTTGCTAGAAGAGCCAACATGAAGGGGTCATATAGTCTCGTAGAGGCACAGAAATCAAAAGTGTAGCTAATGTTTGAAATGTTCAACTAGAGACACTATTTATCCATCCAGATGCTTAATACTGCTCATCATTCCATGAGGAAAACCAGCTAAGAGTACAGACTTCCCTGAATGTAGTGAATTCTTGGAAAGAAATGGCTTCTTATGCCCCATGCTGGGAGCAAGAGGCCAAAGGAACACCTTCTGCCTGAAAAATAGGCACTACCATTGAGATGTGTTGACTGGAGCAGTTCCTTGATGTGTATGTATATACAATAACATGATCTGTACATATGTAAAATAAAATTATGCCATAGCAAGATCACTTGGAATAGCAGCATTCTGTAGTCAGATCTTCAAAATAATTCAACAGTGTTGCCTCGGCTGATATAACTGAATGCATCTTAAGAAAGATCATCATCTTAATATTGGCTGGCAGCTAACCTATGTCAACTTTTTAATATTTTATTTTCTTTAACAAAAATTTTATTTCTCTAAAGTTCATTGACAATAATTTCATGTTTTATATAGATGCTAAGGTTTACCTTTTTATAGGCAAGTAATAAACCAAGAAGGCACTGGGTTCATCTTCAGGTACTAAACACCTCAACCTATGGTATAAGGGTTGACTGGAATTCTCTGGATGGTACTAACATGGTACGGAGATGTTTTATGATGTTGTTTATCAGACATTTTTGTAGCTTTTCCAATGTGGTCTAAAAATGCAACTTCTTTTGATTTTCTTTTGTAAATGTTTAGGTTTTGGTTTTTTGTTTTGTTTTGTTTTTTGTATAGTAAAGTGATAATACCTGGAATTGGAAGAATTGTGTGTTTATTTATTGTAAACTGCCTCCTTTCACTGTGGTGTTTGAAATTCCAAGTTCCAAAAGTAAAGAATTCAGACCCATAGAAATAATAAGCAGATACTTGAAGTGCGAACCTCAGAGTACTTTGATCAGAATCGAGTTACGAGAACTTGATAAAAACTCAGATTTTTTAAGGCTACACTAACCTATTGAACTTAGATATCTTGTTTTGTGTCCTTGGACTATGCAATTAAATTTATTTGCAATTAAATTTTTAAAATAGAAAACACAAGAAGAGTGAAGGCAGATGAATGTGTATACATCAAAGGGTCACTAATAAACACCTGTGTACATACCAAGATTGAAAGGTAGAGCATTTTGCTTCCATCAGAGCCCGTCTTACCATCTTTGCAGAGAAGTCAAGTCAGTCTTCATCACTGCCAAGACAGGGCCTTCTGATTAATAAACAGCTATCTGTAAACCTTTTTCCTTTTCCAGAATGTTGCCTGTTCATGACCTAAAATCTCACTGATCCCCAGCCTTTGTCAAAGTAGCCCAGGCCACCGATAAAATCCCTTTAGGAAGAGCTGGATTCTCTACTCCAGAAGTTCAATAATGATGTGGGGGAAAAGAGTGATTCTTTCTCCCCTAGAGACAGGAAATTTTCCACCTCATCTTCCTGATCTTGTTTATGAGCACTTTTAAAGGGAAGTAGCAAAATGAGATTGAAGACAGGTAAAGAAGACAGATCTTCTACCTGACAGTAGGTGCCAGATCTTGGGGAAGAAGGGAATTTTCTCCCCTGGTTCCTGGTCTCTGAAGTGGGTATGATTTGTCTTGGACACTATTGTCAAGTTTTTTTCTGGTTGACTAGTGTTACAGTAAAGCATAGAAGCCACCTACCAGAACTTTCACCTCAAGTAGAAATCCTTCAGATTGTCTATAAATCTGAATGTGAAACCAACTCATTCACTTGCTTAATATTCTAGTGGGAAAGATGCAAACAGCTGATTTGGGGAGGTACATAAGCACTTTCAGGATCTTAGTAAACTTTCATTTCATAATGTCTGATTGTCTCAGAAATAGGTTCAAATCTTGCTACTGACCTTTGGTAGTATGGGTTCTCAGCTATGTGTACATTTTTTTAATTTCGGAGACTGGCAAGTTTGCCATCTCTCTCTGACACTGTGATAGTTAAGCCAAGACTAATTAACAGGTTGAAAAAAAAAATCACGACAGTCCACATCTTCTGACCATACTATCATCTTTCCTGCTGTGGGTGAAAGGTATGGGGAAATTATGAATATGAGAATGACTGGGGAAGGTAACAGCTGGGGTCAATCTCCTTATGCACTAAGGAGCTTTAGTTTCCTTAAACATAAAATGAAGACTTTCTACCAGTAAATTTTAGGGTCCTTCTAACTCTCAAGCACAATGGTTCTTTGAAAATTTACACATGTGCTTTAGGTAATTTTTTTTTGTCACTTATTTTAGAGAATCTTTTTGCATTAAGCCAAACACAGATCTAGGGATCTTCTCATTATCTTTCACTTACTCAACTTTAACAGAACTGGAGACCAAAAAAATCAAACATTTAAATTAATCCCAGCAATAGGAAGTAGTTTCTGCAAAGATTTCATAATAGCCACTCTTCCCTACAAAGAGGAAAGGGACATTTATAATGTCTTTTGAAATACCTTTTATTTTAGCTATAATGGTAATGAAAATTTCACTTCTGAAAAAAAATGTATGCAGTGGCTTTTCAATCTTTGTTGCTATTGAAGAACCTGGTTTCTCTCAAAAGACTAACCTGTAAGACTTGTTTGAGAAAAGTGCGATGAATTGAATGGAATCAAACGTCTGGGTTTTTGAGTGAAGGACAATGCTATCTGGAGACAGTATGTTAATTGCTTTTAGTTCTTTTGTCACTAGTTAGGACTCTTGGGGGCTTTGTGAAGGAGAGCAAAAGTTGATTCAGTGGCTGAAAAAGCAAGGGTTCGGTCCTGAAAATGAATAAGAAGATGGCACTGACTTTGTGGGGCTAAGGGTGGAGGATGAATCGTTCCTACACTGCTACACTGAATTGTGTGGTGAAGAATTTCAACTAGCTTCCTCGAATGAAAGTTTCGGTCTGTGAAAAAGATGTTTAAAGTCACAGTTTGTAATTAAGAATGTTATTACTGTCTCTCTTTAGTCCAAAAATGTGTGCAATTAAAATTTATTCAATTACCAGGGCGTTGAATACTATCAGGCTGAAAACCCAAAAGAAGTGGTATTAAATGCAGAACTTCGAACGCACGATAAAAATGAACATTATCACTCTTGCTGGAGGTCATATTTACTAGTTAGAAATTTAGGAGTAGTCACATGAAACCCACTGAAAAAGTAGCAGACTCAAGGAGTTGCTTTTTATGGGAGTTTCTATCACTGCTTTGTCAAGGTTTGTAGACATTTTCTATATTGTCATGAAAATCACTTTATGTTCCCAGGCAGAAAACTGAACTAACAAGTTCATTTTCCCTTGTGACAATCTCATAAGGGCCAGCTTCTCCTTATTGGTTTGAGTTCCTGTTATGGAAGGGGTCTAGTCATCATAGAGTTAACCCTTAGTGTTACTCACTCGCATATTTTCTGTCAGTGTCCTGACAGCATTTCCCAAACTCTGTTCATCATGGGAAGTCCATAAGGAACTCTTAAAATACACAGAGTCATGGACTCTATGCCAGACCCACTGCAATTAGAATCTCCAAGGACCTGAAAAATCCAAATTTTTAATGAATATCCCTGATGATTCTTATTTGGGAAATAGTCTCCCAATAAAACTTTTTAACTATTCAGTAGGTTTTCATCCCCAGAAAGCATTAACCAAGCCTCGAATTTTGGAAGGGTTTCTGCTGTCTGCAACCATCTCCTCTCACCTTTTTTTGAAAATTGGTCTATCATTCAAACACATTTTCTGGTGTTCAGCCTCCTATCTCTATTAGCTCTTAGAGTCTACTCTCTTCCACCTTAAAAAAAAAAAAAAACTAACAAAAATTTTTTCTCAAGCCTGCACTTCCTGCTAGATACAGCCTTATTTCACCTCTCTTTTCACAACAAGATTCTAGAAGGGATAACCATTGAATGTACTGCTTCTCAATCACTGTGCGACAAACTCTTATCTAGCTTCTAAATCGGCCCCTACCAAAGTCAGTACTAATCTCTTAACTGATATAATGGAGATAATTTTGAAATATGAAGTCAGCATGTTTCCATTTCTGATGATCTCTAATCAAAAGGAATTATCTCCTGATTGTTCTAAGGCTTCCTCACTCACCCTTTCATTATCTGTGGAGGCAGAGAACCTAGGTGAGAAAGAAAGAAAGAATCAAGGCTCAGTTTCACATTTCAAGCCAGGTTTATTTGAATCCATAGGAAGACCCTGGTTTTAGAAGTCAGGCTATGTAGAGAAAATAGAGTGCTTTCCTGCATTCCAAAAATTCCCCCTAACACAGCAAGAGCTCACAGTGTGGAGAAGTCAGAGGATGTGTGGTAAGCCCCAGACACACAGTTGGGGAGAAAGCTGTCCTAGATTGAGAGAAGGAGCCAAGAAAGACAAAGGAATAGCAAGATATTAGACATGAATGTCCTTGCCACTCTCTGCTGTGAGATCAAATGCAGGAGGATCACTGCTGCAGAATCTCTCAAATAGGTGTGGGGGAACCAGGAAAGTATAGGACTATGATCTCCCTTCCCTGGAGATTGAAGCTTCTCAGAGAAGACCCGGGTTCAGCATTCTCTCATAAGGTGTGGGAGCAGAAGAGCAGCATTGGAAGAGAGGGCCGAAGAATTAGTGAACCAGAAGTGGCCTAGAACCATAATTAAGGAAACACAATGTGTGGGGACATTAGGGCCAGACACAACAGTGGGTCTACAGGTCTCAGTAGTTAATAACATGATGCCTAAAAAAGACAAGCAGAACTAGCAACACCAGCTACACTGAGAAGGATAAAGTACATTCAGCAGACCTCTGGCCAGAAAGAACCAGCCAATGGCATGGGGACCACAAGACTCCCTATTGCCCCCATATGACATCTGAGAGGAGAACAAAGGGCATTCTGAAAGGCTGAGTAAATATCAAACAATTTAAATTAAAAGGAAATGGTTTCAATTATTAAACAAGTATTTTTCTGATATCAGCAGAAATGGTGACTCGAGGGCAAGAGTAAATCAATATTAGATAATAAAGTTACTTTTTTAAATTTTTATGTTTATTTATTTATTTATTAACATATAATGTATTATTTGTCCCAGGGGTACAGGTCTGTGAATCATCAGGCTTA